CCCCAGGGGAACAGGAAGCCTGTCGTTACATAATGAATATGTCCTGGCTCGCAGGAATAAAGCCTCTCTGTTTATTTGTCTGGCGAAACACCATGGAAAGTGCAGCACCGTGTGTTTGGTGACTCCTATAACGAAACTTTCATTCGCCTCCTCTGGAGTGAGGTCATGGCGTCCCCTCTGCTGGACGATGGAAACAGTAGGCTTTGGTCCGACTTGGGTGTGCTTGCCACCCCGCCCACTCTTTTACCAGTATGACACCCTCTTCACGAAACTACTAGAGAATGAAGTTGATTCATTGAGAGGAAGGGATTTAAAAGGGCAAAGAAACAGAAACACTGGTGATGTCAGGTTACGATTTCAAAACAGATTTGACGTTGTTCTGTGTCTCAAAGCCAGGTGTGGAATCAGCAGGAAAACTATTACTAGGTTTTCTTTCATAATAAGATTAGTACCGTCCCACCAGCTGGAAAATTCAACATTTTTTCATTAATTCTTATGTCAGTTGACTGTAAACTCTTGAAATATCATCACAAAAGCCTGTTAACATGAGTCGACACTAATAAAAGACCTTCCAATTAATATCTTCCGGCTTGTGGATGAAAAATTGAACGTTCAAAATCTAAATCGTGACTGATGAGATTCCTGATTTCTTCAGTGGCGGTGCTTAGTCAGGTTCTATCACAGGAGCAAGCCATTTTTCCAAATCACATTAAATCTACTGAAACAACATTGAACAAAGTGCTGTTGTTAAGCTAAAGCACCATCATATAATTTGACCAAAAAATGTTCCCATCTTCCCTCTTACTTGTCTTAATTTCACTGCAATAAACATTTTTCTTTCTTTCTCATGTCTTAATGGCAGTTACCAGAAAACCAAACCCTGCATACTTCTGGTTTTTCTATTTATCGTCAGCTGATGCTATGTTTACAGTGTTTTCTGCCTCCTCTCAGAGTTCCTGTATAACTTGACGGCTGATGTGGAAAAGCGCCTGAAAGGCCAGCCTTCCAGGGTCTACTTTGCTCAGAGTGGATCTCAGATCAGCCAAATGAGCCACCAGCTCAGCCTGGACATCAACCGAGAGGAGTGCCAGCGCTATACCGCCTACGTTAAGGTAAGTTTGGGTTGTATGTGTGGTCCTGCTGCTGGTTGTGTTTGGATTGGGCAGTCCACTTGCTCTTTGTGTCCTCGGCTGATCTCTGTTACGTTCCCATGACCCTGAGCACTCCCACCATGTAGTGTTGATTTGTGATATGAGTGATTTGCTTTTGTGGCCTATTTTTCCTCTGTCTTTATTTATTTATGTAGTTTTCGGTTAGGCCATCAATGTCCACACATTTCCAGCTAAAATGTTTGCACAGACCGAACAAAAAAAAAAGAAAAAGAAAAAATAAAGTGTCAAGATAAAGTAATAAAGTGAGGGTCATCACATGCCTCTTCTTAGTGAGAGAATTTACTGCTGTAGCTTAAGGCCACGGATCAACGGGCATCTGCGGGGAAGCTATTTGTGTCACCCTGCTGGGTTAGGTTAAAGGTAACAGTCAGTTGCTTGATGGTTCCTGAAACCATGCGGCTCAAGTGTGTGTCTACAGAAACTGACAGAAACAGGAAACAGAGTCTCCTTTGTCATCGCATAGTCCCGTTATTGTGTTCCCATGTGATTTAGTCTCACATCCACAAAGAGGGTCCTCATCCTGAGGGCACCATCCATGTTTCACTCCGCTAATACGGAGGCCCACTGCAGGCCTGTAAATTTCACTGGCGCTCTTAATGGTGCTCTCCAGGCGTTTTCTCTGTGGGAGGCCGAGCTGCCAACTGAGGGAGGTTGTCATTACCACGCTTTCCTCTCATTCTTTTAACTAGTCAGACTGTAATGAGCGTACAGCACACCGAAGAGTTGTAGCAGCAAGACTTTTGTCTTTTTTCCAAAGAAAGCCTTATCACAGTTATCAGGGTTTACTCAGTGAAGTGAGCCCAGTGTTTATCCAAGCTCTTCAGAAAGCCTGTATAGTTTAGCAAACAGGAGAATCTTAACATTTCAAACTAAAATTTCACTTGTCCTCAACCAAGGTTCAGCACACATAACATTAACAGGAGTCATAAAATAGTGTTTCTGCCCAGACTGAGTCTGACATTTACCTTCTTGTGGGTGGGCGACTGCATCATCACTCAGTTCTAACCTAAGGCTGTCACTTATCTCTGCCATCTCTCAGCTGTTACACAAACACACTTGTAGTGTAAGTGCCATCCATCAGGCCAGATGTTGCTTCAAGGACGGCGTCTATTTTGCAGCTCTCAGCGAATTAAAGGCGCTGTATAAAAACTGCACTTTGATGCTAGTCTGATCACAGCATTAGCAGTCTTTCCGGGGACCAGACTAGCTGCTTCCACCTGTTTCCACCTGTTTAAATGTCTTCTGGCTCTAGCATTGCACAAAGAGTGGTATTGTTCTGCTCTTCTAACTCCTGCCCACAGGACAAATCATTTTCATGCTTTAATATCTTAATGTTTGGCAAATATTTAACTTTGTAGATGGAAAGTGTATTTTGGGGTAACATATGGTGCATTTGGATTGGCTTGACTGAGGTGTAAAAGGACTTCCACTCTTTGGTTTGTTTATTTATTTATAGATTTTATGAATATGGCCTCTGATTCCACCTGCCTGGTTGCAAAACACACAAGAGAAACCCCCGAAGTTATCCAAAGGTGAAAAGCCGCACAGGACTGTGAAGGTGTGGTGCACAAATTGCAACCTAGCTAGACTGTTTACAGGCTAAATGACCTTAAATATGTATAAAAAGTAAAGGGGCCCAAAGATTAGAACTTAGCGTGGTAACTATCTGTCATGAGTTTTTGTCATCATACATTATATGTTTGGGAGAAGAGCTAAAGAATCACCATAATCAGAGGTGATCTGGCTCCGCTCTCACAGAGGGTCTAGTGTGCTTGACCAATCGCATCGTTTATCTTACTCATGTGTCTGCCCACATGAGCCAATCCTCCCATTCCCTAGAAGAGGTATGCTAATGGAAACCAGCTGGTTCCTCGACTGTATCCTCGGTGGTGGAGGGTTTGCGCGCCCCCACCCTTCTTTCAGCTTAAACGTACAGTAAAAACACAAGAGTGAGACTAGCGTCACAGCAGGGTGCTGGGCTGCTGTTGTGTCAACTGGAACTGCACGCTGGTGCTCCTGATGGAAAACCCTCAGGGTGGGGTTGGCTGCTCAAGCCCTGATGCATGAGAGCCGATGGAAGCAGGCCCCGAGTTATTCCGAGATACACTCACGTTTAGAGCTGCTGACCATGTGCTGAAGCCATTTATTGACTTTATACATCAAATTCCTTTAAATGAGCTCAGAAACTGAATAATACACTGTTAAAGTTGTCTTAGTTCCACATAATGTGCATGAAGCACACACGTTCAGCTTTGACCATCTGAAGTCAAGTAAAGTTAAAAAAAAGCTGGACATAGTGTGTTCAATAAATCATGACGTGCTGAGAACACAGGAGCATAACAAGAGTTCTTCAGAGGGTACAGAGTACAGAAGCAAATAGTTCAGTGTCTAACTTGTTCAAGCATAATTCCTCTTACTTTCAATTTGATCATTTTAAACATGTTTTCATTGGCATCAGTAACAACATACCAGCCCCCCAGATGGCCTTTGTTTGGTTATTTTTAGCTAAATAAACTCCATCCTGACTTTTGCTGGAGTTGTACCTCACATTTAGGGAGGGAAATCAGCCATGATGACTGATGAGTGATTGAAAGTTCACATGACCAGAGGTTCTGTGCATGAGATGGAAATGATTCATTTAACAAGCAAACCACCAACTTTTAGTAGAAATTCTTCAGTTTGATGTTCAATTATGTTCACTTGGTACATTACATTTGCTGCACAAAGTCTCAGCCTATTGTGACAGACAGAGTCCAAGTAGTAAAATAGCTTGAATAGCTTGTTTGGAGTGTTATTCACAAATGGACACCTACACATTTAACCTTTGTAACAAGAATAAGTGCAAATGCTTGGGAAACAGGTATGTTTCTTCATTCAGATACATTAAAAAGCAAGACAAACACAGCTCCCTTCAAACCATGGGTTTCTCATTTTGGTGTCTTGCTTCTTTTTCAACCCAAAGGAACCAGTTTTGAATTGCTAGGGTAGCAGTGCTAGCTTGTAGCATCCACTAGCAGTACAGGAAAAAGAGGACTAAACAGTGTAAAAACAGAGTTTGCACAATTCTAATGAGGTTGAAAGTCAATGCTTGGTATGACCACATTTATTCTTTAACTCAGCCTGAACTTATGAAGACTAAAAACTAAAAAAGATTTAAAAAGTAGTCTTCAAGAAGCCATTCAAAGCTCTTTGGATGTTGGGTGTTGCTTTTGTTCTGTTCTCCCACATTGCTTCAATAATGTTGAGGTCCAGTCACTGGGGAGGCCAATCAATGACTGACAGTCCACCACTGTGTGTTGTTCTATCGAGGTATACCCTTTACTGCTTTTGGCAGTGTGATGTGTTGCCACTGATTTCCAGTCCAGCTCTTTTGTAGTTTGGAATTGACATAGCCATTTTTCTCTGCTTCCCTTTCTGAAGAATGGCTTGTTGACAGTCAATTTTCCACTAAGACCATTTCTGATAAACCTTCAGTGAACAGTAGATCGATCAACTGAAGGATCAGATGACATCCTGTGTCGGGTTCTCTGTTAATGTTTTTAAACAACATGACGTTTGGATACTATTCATGTGCTGTAGTTAGTCTTTTGTTTTTGTTTTTTACACCATGCCAAGATATGCTAAGTTTTTGGCTAATAGCTCTTTGGGAATCACATTGTTGGTGGAATTATGCGATTTTATTCCTGTTATCTTTCATAGAATCAACTAAGGAGATGGAAGCAAGTTGTGTTTTTTCAACAGGCTGCTAGTAACAAAGTCCCTAAAGATACAATTTAAAATTGTTTGTTTGCTAAATTGTCTGTTATGTATTCATCCCTTGATTTGGGTGCTTCTTTTATGCTTGAATGATTCACAAATCAGCGTTAAGTGGTTCAACAAACAAACAGAAAAGAAAAAATATTCTTCTCAAAATGGTCAGCTAGAAAACCAAAACGATTGTCGGGTTTCCAGCCACCCTGCGACCCTGATAAGGATGAAAAGAATGGGTGGATGAATAGATGGATGATTTTATCACCAACATCATTAAGATATGACATTTGTAAACCACAAATATCTGTACAAAATGTCAGGACATGCATATCTTTATAAAACATGATGGGTTAATCAATTCCTATTATCATTTAAGAAAGTACTAAACTCATGCATGCTGTGAATACATTTCTTTGTTGAATGGAAGCCATCAGTGCCCATCGGTTGTGTTAAATAGTGGCTTTGATTCACTGATTGTTTTAAGATATGAGTTTAATTATTCCATTGTTATATTTTGTGCAGTTCTTCACTGTTTAAATCGTTGGCTGTATATCCATCATCATGCATGTTTTTACTCCAGCAGTCCCATTACTGTTGAGCACACGTGAGCCTTGAAATCATGCCAAAACTCAGCTCCATTTGTGGTCATGAGTGGTTTTGTGTAGCACTGGAGATGCATCACAGGCTCCAAGGAGGAGTTAAAATAGGCAACTAAAGCCCTGCCTGTAACAGTTGTCTGTTTAATTTAGCTTGTAAAGTATCCTGCCTGGCCCCCTCTCCCCTGGCCTATATACACCATGTCCTACATCTCATGTCCTGCAGTAACATTTGCTCGGCACCACTGCAATATTTAAACGTCGGCCAAACTACATTCTGGTGACTGCTTCTATTATTGGGGTATCTAAAGCACGGCCATCTCTCTGTCAAAGCTAAATGCTCCAACGCCCTTTCCGGTCGACTGAATGATAATCATGACTCTACGGTCGTGTTGTGCGCAGTGACTGTTTAAGGGCAAGTAGATGGACTGATGGTGGTCAGTGAAGTCACAGAATTGAATTAAAAGTCCATTTACCTGCTCGTTAGTGCTGTATCATACGTCATTCATATCTCATTTGGCTAAATTCCAAAGGCCTGTCATTTCAGCAAACAGCCTTTAGGACAACATCGAACGTGAACAGCAGCCAACAAGA